TTTATTTTTTAAAAGAAATTATCTCTTCCCTAAAATTTTCTAATCATTAAGAGCAGCAACATCTGCACCCCATCCACCTACATGGCACGGAATCAAACGCCACCTTCACCTCTACACTCTGTCTCCCCACCACAGCCACCTACACCTCCATAGCCAGCATTGACACCTCATGTGCCACTCCGGTTGTCATTATTATTGTCTTGATTTCGACATACACATCATACTTCATTACATGTGAGTGTAGGGGTGCAACCAAGCATGAGCTTTTCTCTATCACTAAGAAAAGAAAAAGTAATTATTAAGCAATTATTGTTTACACAAGTTTGCAGTAGGCCTGATTAACTTACTCATGTTCTACTTTGAAAACACTTACTGATTCCTTAATATGTACCCCTAAAGACGACTCTTGCCTGACTTCAGCAAACTAACTGGGGTTACCCCATCGGGAAAGCAGTGATAATTTAGTTCTCCAGGTTCCATAAAATCAATATGAATTAGTGAGATTCTGTAATGCAAATACAGAAAATCACACATATGTTCTTTGATTTTAAGGAGAAAAATACTTGCTATTTCCCATTTTCCCCTATCTTCCCTTGCTGAAAGTTGTTCAGACAGCTGTCAAGCACTGGCCCTTACTAATGTCGAGCTAAGAGCATTAGAGAGCCATTGTTCTACACGGGCCAATGGTTTGCTGGCCTAAGACAGCTGGTCTTCAGATTGGATTTGCTAACACTACTGAAAAAGCATCAGATTAAAGTATTTATGAAGGTGGCTTCCAACAATCACCCTTAGTCTTACACAGTTTTATGCTCAGCAGTTTTTAAAGGCATCTGTTGTTATCTGAATATTTAGTAGTCCTGTCCATATGATTTACAGAGGCTTCAAAAAGAATTTTGAATTTAAAATTTATTGTTTAAAAATATGATACTCTGACCTTTCCTTAGGGAATGAATGCAAAAATATTATTTAAACTTAGGTGTGGATAAAAGCATAATGAGATACCACTATGCACTTACTTCTAAGGCTAAGATGATAAAACCAACTGTGCCAGAGTTAAATGATGAGGATGTAGGAAAACTGGAATTCCTGAGCAGTCCCATGAGAACACACAATGGTACAAGTGCTTTGGGAAACAGTTTCTTAATAAGTTGAACAGGCTTACATACGATCCAGAAATCCTACCTCTAGATATTTACACAAATGAAATGAAATATTATGTCTAAACAAAAAGCCAGTTGATGAACATTTATAGCAGATTATTTCACATTTGCCCCAAACAAGAGACCACCTAAATGGTGAGCAGATAAACAAACTATAGTTCTTCCCTACAATGGAATACAACAGAGCATAAAAAAAGGAATGCATTTCTTATACACACGGCAAGCGATATAGATGAATCTCAAATTCAAAGTGCTAAGTAAAGGGTGCCAGACTCAACAGGTTGCATACTACAAAATTCCTCTGATGGGACCTTCTCGAAATGGCAAGAACAGAGGCTGGAACACAGATCAGGAGTTGCTAGGAGTAAGGCTGGCTAACGGGGGACATGAGGGAATGATGATGGAAGTGACATATTGATTGTGGCAGTGATAGCTATGTGGTTGTATGCATTTGTCAAAATTCACAGAACTACACACCTAAAAAGAGTAAATTTTATCATATATATTTTACCTCCATGATCTTAACAATTCAGTGTAACCTTAAGATTTGAAACATTGAAACAAGAATTTAAAATATGTTCTTTTTTTTTTTCCCTTTTTTTGGTACCAGGGATTGAACTCAGGGGTACCGACCACTAAGCCACATCCCCAGACCTATTTTGTATTTTATTTAGAGACAGGGTCTCACTGAGTTGCTTAGAGCCTTGCTTTTACTGAGGCTGGTTTTGAACTTGCCATCTTTCTGGCTCAGCCTCCCAAGCTGCTGGGATTATATATTATATGTTCATTTTTAACACCTGAAGATACAAATGAAAGTAAAAATAATGGCTATCCCCATGGCAGAGATGTGTTAGCTTCACTACTGTCTTATGATTTGGTAAAGACTCCCATGTTACCATGGATACAAGCCATTGTTCCCTTTTGTATGAACCTAGAATATTATTAAATTGTGAGTAACGTACAGTGCAGGGGTAACTCAGAAACATCCGAAGTCACCCAAATGTTTTTCATTTTTAAGAACCCTGCCCATGTTTTCTTGTTGAACATGTGAGCAACTGTGATATAAGTGAACTATCCTTCAGGGATTAAAAGAAGAAAAAGTTAAAAACTTGGTGGCTGGGGCTGGAGTTGTGGCTCAGTGGTAGAGTGCTTACCTAGCATGTGTGAGGCACTGGGTTCGAGCCTCAGCACCACATAAAGATAAATAAATAAAAGGTTTTTTGTCCATCTTCAAATTTTTAAAAAAGACAAAAAAAAAAAGAACTTGATGTCTAAACTTGAAGAAAAGTCTAAAAAAATGCTAGTTCTTAGGTCACTGAAATTCTTTACTCTGTTTTGTTTGGTATAGGAATAATTTCCGAAATGTAGATGGATTGAAGACCAAGGACACATGGGAGGTGTTATCGTTGGAATCTTCCCCTTCCCCTAGAGGCCTATATGTATATGTGGTGCTGTTGGGAGGTGGTGGAACCTTTAAGAGGTGGGGCCTAGTTGGAGGAAGTTAGCACTGCGAATGTACCCTGGAAGAGGATATTGGGAACCCAGCCCCTTTCTCTTTCTTTTTCTCTTTGCTTCCTGGTTGCCATGAAGCCAGCAGCTCAGGAACTCCCACCATGATGTTCTGCCTAAAACAGGCCCCAAAGCAACAGGATCAACTGACCATGCACTGACACCTTTGAAACTGAGCCAAAATAATTCTTTTCTCCTTATAAGATGATTTATCTCAGGTAGTATTTATAGCCAAAGAAAGCTAACACAGGAGGCTAGCTCCTCCTCTCCTTGCTGGTGGGGAAGACCATGGTTTCCTAAGTGGCTAGGGGGTAGATTAAGAGTAGGTTTTAAAATCAGGAAAAATCCTAAGTCCTGGGATCCAAGTGAACAAGTTGTGGTCCTTCACTCACATGTTAAAGGATATGGTAGAAAAAGTACTCTTAAAAAGCACCTATCTGAGAGCTGTATTAGAGCTGTGCTGCCACACGTGTGGTGGTGCATCCACCTAACAGCCAGTAAAAACTCAGGCTGCTGCAGATGCCTGGCTTGAGGCTTAAGAGCTTCCTAGTGCTAAGGGAGCACCACACACATCCCGGTGTCAGATCTTACTTACTCACCTTCTCTGCCTTGCCTTCTCTGACTTCTTTTAGATTTAAATCTTAAAGGTCTTACCTGCTCTTAATCTTTTCAGGAGGAAAAGAGTGCCCGTTGCCTAAAGTGTGACAGTAGTTTGCAGGCTGTGTCAGGCGTCATGTTCTTTGGGGAAATCTACAGATTCTCACCCTGGCAACTTCCTCTCCCCCACACCCCACGTTGGGGCATATGGACAACCCTGGAGCCTCACACAGCAGCTGTTACATCGATTTCCGAGTACAGGGACCTGAGCAACGACTGTAATGACATTTTCCTGGCTGGCTCTGACCTCTGAATCTCACTGATTAGTCTAACACACACTGTGAACATCAACCAGTTAGAACTCAAAGCCAAGTCTCAAAAAATTGCTTTAAAATGGCAAGAGATGTTTAAGACATAATTTCTGTGACCTGGCCATTAACGTGCTCACTTCCCAATCCGTGATTCTTTTTTATATCTTTCCCTCTCAATTATTTTTCCCTGTGTGGCTCAGGTTTCTGTGGTAGTTATCCCTAATCACTGAAACACTTTGGTCGGCAATTTGTGCTCCTGGGCTTAGAGGGCAGTCAATATGGATGGGAGAAATTGGGAAAAAAAAAAAGATCCTTCTCATTAAATATTTTAATATTTCTTTTGTTTAAATAAAAACAACCATTTTTTTCCAGAAAATATTGGTTGGATTTGAATATTCAGAGAGGTCGTTAAAAATACCTATGTGTAAATGATGATAATTTATGCTTTATTATTCTAAGATGACTCAAAGGCCCTAATACCTAAAGAACATCAATTAATTTTTTCAGATACAAATCCAGATATGAATCTGATTTCCTCTCTCCTCTACTTCTTATTTCCCACAACACATGCTCCTTTTTCATACTCCAAAGCCCACCGTCTTCCCTTCTTTTGTCACAACTTCCATAAATACATAGCCTTAGATTCAATATGCCAGGCTCAAGTCTGGCACTCTGTTCTAAAGTCACCCAGCCCCACCTCCAGGGCTTTCTCCAATCCATCAACAAACATATCTTACATCTGACCAGACGCTACGTATGATCCTGAAGCAGAAACAATAGAGTTTGTATTTATACTGATCTTATAAACAAAACAAACTGCTTTCATAAACATTAGTGGTGATGCTTTGGATGTGAAGTTCTGTGATTAAAGACCACTTGCTTTATAACAGGCCAGGATTTGCTGACCATTTGCCAGGAGGCCAAGCTTCACATACAATCTTTTGCCCTCCTAAATTCTTTCCCTTTATTTCCTACCTCTGGGGTAAATTTTTTCAACATTTTTTTTTTGTTTGTTTGTTTTTAGATACCAGGGATTGAACTCAGAGGCACTCAACTGGTGAGACACATCTCTTGCCCTATTTGGTATTTTGTTTAGAGACAGAGTCTCACTGAGTTGCTTAATGCCTTGCTTTTGCTGAGGCTGGCTTTGAACTCACAATCCTCCTGCCTCCGACTCCTGAGCTGCTTGGATTACAGGCGTGCGCCACCATGCCTGGCTCAATCATATTTCTTAAGCTTGACTTTTCTCCAGATTCTACTCGTCCACAAAATGTCACTGGCACTTTTCTTTCCTATGAACTTAGCTTTATGGTAGTTGTTTCTTCTTTATCCTTTCTGGCAAATGGCTGCCATTTTGCTCCCATTAAACACACATATCCTTTCCTCATTAAAAATACTTAAATTAAGTGCCTGGGCCTGGTACCTGCTGCATGCCTTGCATGGTTTGCTGCAGGAACTGCAGCTGCTGGTCCTTGGTGAGGTTTTCTTCTGTTCGAAAAAGCTGCTCTTTTTCTTGTTTCAGCAGCTCCACCTCATTCCTGTAGGCGTCCAGCTGCCAACGGAGACTGTCATTCTCCTCTTTAAGAGCATAGGCCTGAGCAGCCAGGGCTGAAGGACAAACAGAAAGAGTTCAAGTGAGTTTTATTCTTGCTTAGATTGAAGTCTTTAGTGGGAAAGGGAGTCTCTCACCTAAACTCATAATGTTCACACTGTATCGGCTGAGATTTAAGACCCAAATGTCTTGCCTTGGGGCTTTTTATTTTGCAGCTGGTGAGCATCACTTCTGTTGGAAGTTTTTGTGATTTTGTCTTTGTATTGTTTTTTGCTTTTGCAGCACTGGGAAAGGAACCTAGGGCTTTGCACATGCTAGGCAAGCACTCTACTATTGAGTTCCACCCTCAGCCCCTTTATGGACTTTTTATCTCTTCTATTTGCCTTGTCTTATGTATGAATGCTTCTTGTAGGCACAGATCAATTCCTTCCAATTCTTGTCTCTTGACCTTTTCCCCAACCCCAGACACCCACATACAAACTGTCCTGTATTGCTCAGTGATGAGGATTTTCAGAATTTCAGGCAAAAATCACATCTACCACATTGTTGTCAGCTCTCATTTTGCAGGATTGCTCTGCTACGTGAAGTGCTGCTTTCTTTCAAATAGTCAGCTGTTCCCTTCCACAGGTTGAGGCATGCAGCAGCCTCCCAGGGGAGAGAGGAATTTATATGCACACCACTCCTTCCTGCTCTATTGCTGGGACAAATTGCACAAATTGTTTTCTCTAACTCCTATCAGAATGGTAACCTAGTTCCATCTGTTTCACCAACAGATTAAAACTCTTTTCCCTGCAAGGCTGAGTGCTTTCTCTCTTC